CTTTACTGGAAGATTCATGCTGACGCTGTTTCCGAGGCAATCTCCTTCGATTCCAGTGAACACGTGCTGAATCGAAGGAGATTGCCTCGGAAACAGCGTCAGCATGAATGTTCCAGTAAAGCCAATCGACAGCTGGTCAAGCAGGAGATTGCCTCGGAAACAGCGTCAGCATGAATGTTCCAGTAAAGCCAATCGACAGCTGGTCAAGAGGACTCAGATTGCCTCGGAAACAGCGTCAGCATGAATCTTCCAGTAAAGCCAATCGACAGCTGGTCAAGAGGAATCTGCGATTGCCTCGGAAACAGCGTCAGCATGAATCTTCCAGTAAAGCCAATCGACAGCTGGTCAAGAGGAATCCACCGTTGCCTCGGAAACAGCGTCAGCATGAATCTTCCAGTAAAGCCAATCGACAGCTGGTCAAGAGGAATCCGCAGTCCTCGGAAACAGCGTCAGCATGAATCTTCCAGTAAAGCCAATCGACAGCTGGTCAAGAGGAATTCGCCGTTATCTTCTGGTGGAACCGACCTTCGAATAAACTTATGAGGTTCATAGATGCGTTGGATTGAATATGGTTTTAAGAACGATTGCATGCTCTGGGGTCGAAATAGTTTGCCTACAGGATAGCATCACCCAGAATATTTCTATAAAGGCAACTGACAGCTGGTTTCGTCGTTTTCTAGTGGGATTGACCTTTAAGTCTCTATCCCATACTTTCATTCCAAGTGAAATTGTACCCATTGTCCCCATTGTACCAAGTGCGTCCTCAAAACCTAATTTTTAGTCACAAACTTCAAAATACCCAAACGACTTTGTAAAAGAGGATTTCGTTTATAATTCCGTTGTGGTTGCTTTAAAACAAGAATTAAGTTGAAATGTACAACTTGACGGGTTTTCACAAACCGGTTTTCAACGTTCCCAATGTGAAAGCAGGGGTTCCGTCAAAATAACCCCTCTTACATGTTGTCATGGCCATTGCATGCCTTTACAGCACGTGTCTTCTACATTGGGCTGAGGTAAAAGCAGCCGTGCCTTGCCTTCATCATCCCGTACGCCAATGTCGACCGAACGACTCTGATTTTATGCCATATTTTGCGTGGCAGTCTTCACATGTGCCTACAAGCATGGCCGCAACTATGCCCTCATTCAGTCTCTGTTTCGTTCTCTCTCATTTTATTCCATCAAATGTGAGGCCTGGACAATTGGACACGACCGAGCTGTAGGCAACTCTGTCTTTTTCGTCATTCCATAGGCAAGAATGCCTCAGTCGTCCTAGGCCTTGACGTATGGACCTGAAGATGCGTCTCTGATGGGCTGTTATCCCCACTCCCACATTCCCCTCGAACCCACTTACATTCCCACCAAAATAGCTTGTGCACACACATGCACATACACACAAATAATGGCCAAGTCGCGGAGATTGAGGCCCAGTTATTTTCTCCATCTGCCCAAGCTAGTGTGCTAAAGCCGTCATAAGCGTGTCCCTCAAAGTGCTGGTTGCCATGCTGTAATGCAATCGGGTCACGGCTCTCCGGCCGGTTGCTACAGAAGCCACAGTTACGAGTCGTGTCAACGACGCGGTTGCCTAGTCGTGTAGGCAGCCAGCGAGACCGTTTATCCGGGTTCGATGGTCTCCAGTCGGCGTTACCGTGACGCAACCTCATGAGGCTGCCTCAACTTGTGATGACTGCATCACTCGGTCCTTCCGATAGCTTAAGGGATCTTCTTGACCTGGAGACACCGGACTGGCTCTGCCCCGCCCCGCCCCGCCTCCGACATCTTCCTCACCCACCCGCGCAAACTGAAGTCTAATGTGAGGACCACTTTTGCCCATAGCACAGACCATTCGTGTCGGCCGGTTGGCCCAGCAGTGCTGGGTCTGGCCGATGACATGGTACTAGTAACCTGGTCTTCGAATGGGCGGATGGATTATGTAAGGGGCCTAGAGAAGCCGAGACGAGTGGCGGTCACGACCGGTTACCAGGTTGGTCTAGGCTGCTATTAAGGATTTATCAATTGGCTAATGAAGCCGTGGATACTACACCTAAACACACACACACCCACACACAGACAAATATGGCAGTTTGTTGATGACATCGGAAAATTTGCTGTTAATTCCGTCAAGGCGTTGTGATAAGATGACTTGTCGAGGTGGTTGGTTGATAGGTGGCAGCTAGGTCTGTATCTCCGAGTAGGGGAGGTAAAGGGATAGAATTGGCCCTGTCTGGAATGTATTAGACTGCTAGTGGTGCCTTTAGGATAAGGGAAGTAGAGGTGATGTGAAAGGGTGATCCACGAACGGGAAGACAGGCCAGCATCAAAACACGGACAACTGATCTGGTTTATCTCAAAGCAAAATTCCTTTGCTATGCCATTTTCTGGAATGCTTTTCAATATTCTTTGAGCGAATCTTCACCTGCGTTGAATAGGTTTACGGGTTCCGAGGATAGAAAGTAAAGTTCAACTTATCATTTAACTGAAGATGCATCTCATCAAATCATAGGCAAAATAGAACATGTGAATTCGAATCGCGTTGATCTACAGTTGCGATGCAACTTCTGAGTCTGTAGACTCACGAGAAATAGTAATCAATAATAAAAAAACACACCTGGGCCTTGAGGCTACCGATTTACGTGGCGAGAATGACATTTAAGATTAAAATTACTTTTCACAACCCCAACCCGTAATAAAGATACCTTGCCAAGGCTGTGCTGGCACCACGTGAAACGCTTGGTAATGCCACATTTATCACTCAAGGTCCTGTATCACCACGACAGTCATTCTTACCGTGCAAAATAGGGCTGTCCAGATCTCCTCACATCATGGACTAAGGTTAAGAGACTCTGGCTATCCCCACCAAGTAAGAGAATGCTAATTTTGGGTAGGAGGTAGGGTGGAATTTTTTGTTCAGGCCAGGTCTTTTCTTCTAGTCAAGTCGAGTAACCGAGGTGAAAATGTTTTAATACTCAGATGGACTAGTTTTCGGTTTCCATAACCCGAATCTAGTCATAGTGTCATCAGGACAACGAACAAGTGGTACATCCTAACTTCAGACCATCACCTAATTCCAAGGAGTATTTAAACTTGCTTAAGGGGCGAATATTTTTTATCTTAAACTAATCTACTACACATTTCTAGACAACATTTTAGGCACTTTAATGAATACAAGCAAGTCATGCTTAATACCAAATCGAACAGTGCGAAGTTAATTATTGCCCTAGTTATAACTTGACACATGGCCGCATGTAATTTAGGTAATAATGTTTATAATTACAAGGCGACGGAGAAGAGCCATTAGTTATCGTATTGATGCTTGTCACAACATCCAGTTTTATATGTACAATAAAGTATATAAAAATTGTATATCATCCCCTTAGTAAATATGGAAAAAGGGAATAATGCAAAAGTGAATATTGGAAGTGAAAAAAATGAGTGATTTTTTATTACATTGGAAAGAAAATTTGATGTAATTTATAGACATGAACATGGTAATAGCAATTCTAAAATTGGCAGAGATGTTGGGGCTTTTTTAAACACGCAGATAAAATAAGGGAAGAAAATAAGCCAGCGTCAACTTAATCTGGTTTAAAAAGCATCTTTAGGAATGGACGTATTACAGTAACACATTTAGGTGAGAATGTATATGTATTATTGCAGCCTATGTACCATAAACCTCTGGCAATTAACACTTTTTAACATTCTTAGCAATTAAATTGCCCCCAAAAGGAAAAGGATGCGCGAATAAAAATTTTAATAAAGTTTTTCAATGCGCTAGAACTGATTACATGACTTAATATGCTATAATAGCTTCCGATAATATGATTTTGAGTAGTACGACATAATTGCGGGACAAATGACAAATCGCGGCCTGCCTGGATTCTCTGGTATAGAAAGTGTCTGGATATCACCACTATATAATAATATAAAAGCAACCACATTCGCGATAGATTTTTTTGAGGGGAGTAGATTCCGAGACTATCAATAATTCTTGAATAAGAGCTTGGTCGCTCCAGATGACTTACGCTGGTTTAAGGACTGATAATTGAGTTTTCACACAACGAGATGAGCAAGCCTTTCGATGCCAAAGTATTTCATTTAGCTTTGTCTTTTTCTCTTTAAGAGTATACTACAGGTTCGATCTCTACTAGGTTTCATCAACAGCTGCAACGGGATTAGATGCATGGTTGTGAC